ATCACAACCCCTCTGCAATCAGCTTCTGCCCTGGAAGAGCTGAATCAGAAAAGAAACCTCATAGCAGCAGAGAGGGGATGAGGAGCCCGCTCACGCAGGGTGAGGGCAGCAGGGGCCAGGGGGAACCTCGTCCATCCTAAGCCCTCTTCACTTGCCCTGCCAACTCACTGTCAGTAGAAAGGAGCCAATCTTCCCCTCCTGCAGCAGCACCAGGAAAGGGTTTCACCAGCAGCAGTCCCAATTCCAAGTGGTCCTAAACTTTGGATGCAGAACAGGCCACACATCTGCCCCCCTTCTTCTTGCTGCCTGCGAGGTCAAAGCATCCCACGAGGAGCTCCCTCCTTTCTCCCTCTCCTTTGAATGCTGTGCTTAGAGTGGTGCCACTGACACTGGAAACGACACCTGAGCAGCTAGGTCCAAGATGGAGAGAAGATAGGAGACCTCACTTGGATGCAAGGGGTGCTCAGGACACCTACAGCCCTGTTTCTGTGGGACAGGGTATGCACAGACCCTTGCAGCCAGCCCCAAGCCCCAGAGCACAGCACTGGTCCAACCAAAAGGCAGCACTGACCCATTTCCCACCGAGGGATTCCACCAGAATTGCTTTCCCATGTTTCCTTCCTACCAGCAGGAATCTCTTGGCATTTCCCCTGAAGCCACCCAAAGGGGCCCTTGCAGAGATGCAGTGGTGGCCAGCTTGCATGAGCCATGCCAGGGATATCCTTCCAAAAGGCCAGCAAGGCACAAGCACCATCCCCATCTCTGCTCATCTGAAACCCAGCAGCCAGAGGCCGCTCTCCTGCCTGGCAGTCATTTTGTCAAAATGCAAGGCAAAACCAGGGCTTTTTACTGCAAGAAAAAGAGAGCTACTCCAGGGACTGGCAGGAAGAGCTGATGGGTCTCAGCACAGTGCTTAGGCTGAAAAGCTCCAGCTCCAGACCTTATTTTGCAGTGACCTGTACCAAGATTTGGCTTTTCCCTTTTTCTTGCCAAATGGAAAGAAAAAGAAAGCCTTCCAGGTCAGAGGAAAGAAAAGCATTTACTCGTGGGTCAAGTGAAACAATCTGATGCAGGGCTGGATGCACTTTTATCCTCCCCAAACAAGGAAAAGATTTAATTTCCATCTCAAAAAAACCCATCTAAAAATAAAGACACAAACATTTTTAGGGTCAGAAGCACTCAATTTTAGTTTTCAAGCCCAAATGATTTTCTCAACTGAACTCCACGTCGCAAAGTATGGCTTGACTCAAAAGTGCAGAGGGGTGGGGAGGGATGGGCTGAGGCATCGATTGGGAAAATGTCACCCTCACTGAGGGTGACACAGCGACCACTGCAGGGCCAGCCCAGGACCACCCGTGTTCCCGGAGGGCAGCCTGAGAACCCCGAGCTCTGCTCCTGCAGTGCTGGGAGGGAGGCAGGGAGGGAGGGAGGGACAGAGGTGTTTGGCCACCTCTGCTGCACTTTGCTCATCCAAAGCGAGCTGTCACTTCCCATCCTCCTCGCCAGGCAAATCCTTCCTGACATCCCGTTTAAAACTCAAAGTACCCAATTACCACTGCAGCCAGGCAGCCGGGAGAAACTCTTCCATGAACACACCCTCAAAAAAAAATCTCTGCCTGGAGTACTTCTCCTCACCCTTCCCAGACCCACCCACGTGCCAGGGGTACCTGGGTCCTTCTTGAGGTGGTCCAGGTGTGGCTCTGCTCTCACATGTGTGGCCCCAATCACAGAAACACCATGTTTCCAGCACCTGTTTCCCACCAGCCCAGCAGGGGAAGAGCCTCCCAGCCCATGGCTCCATCCACCTGCCAGGGCTGACCCCAGACCCTCCCGTCCCTGAGTCCATTAGCAAATCCCTGGAGCACACATCTTGCTGGTATTTGGCTTAGCCCCAGCTTTTAGGGAGAGCTGCAGAGCTACGTTGCCTTTCAATTTTTAATTTCCTCTAAACATTTTGGTCCTCTCCCCAGGGACTCTGAGTCAATCACCTCTGCTGGCAGTACAGCTAGGGGGAAGGGGAAAACCAGGGGCAAAGGAGGGGAAAGCAGCCCCACCCCAAGCTCCTTTGGAGGAGCAGGACCCCTTTACATGCACACCCTAGAATGAGGGACATCCACACCCACCTCCCCAGTGCCCCATGGAGATGCTCCACAAGGAGGAGGAAGGAAGACAACTCCAGATCCCTCCAGAAGGACACGACATCTACAGGGACAGGGCTGTGGCAAAGCAGAGCACCCTTGTTCTTCCATCAGACACCTCTGTGGGTCTGGGTTCCCCAAAAATTGACAAGGTTTATCCCAGTGCCTGGCACAGCTACCCCTCCTTCCCCACCACCTGGCACTGGCACACAGCAGTGCCCAAGAGTAAGGACATGAATACAGCATCACTTTCCAGTCCCTGAGGCATCTTTGTCTTTTTTTCCACTGCCTTAGGCAACAAATGTGCAAACAGGGACCTGCTGGGCATGAGGAATGTGAGCTGAACTGCTCTGGGAAGGGAGATGCCATCAGAGCTGGCAAGAGCAGCTCACATCACCCAGAGCAGGGGAGCAGCTCCAGGTGGGTTTTCTGTCCCTCAGGTGTCCAGCTGGGGTGGGGGTGTCCAGGCTCAGGGTTAAGGTTCACTTCTTCACCTTTTATCTAGATTGAAAGTGCATGGAAAACTAACCAAGCACTAGCAGACAATGTGTGAATGACAAAACCTCAAAGAAAAATGAAATCCTGATCAGCATGAGGAAAGGTACACGGAATAGCAGCAAGGCTCTGTAGCCCATCTTCAACAGGCACCCAGGGTGGGAAAAGAGTGATGTGCCCAGAATATGCTCCCTCCATACTCAAACTGGCAGGTTTGGGAGTTCCCAAATCACAGGGATATGGTTTAAAACTTGCTGGCTCCCTCCCACAAATTTGCTGCTACCTTTCTGCGCACATCTAAACTCCCACAGCACCTTCCAGACCCCATAGCATCTCCCCAGTCACAATTTCCTGGGACAGCAGTGGGACCCATCCCCAAAACTCCCAGCTGCATGCCCAAGCAGCCTGGGGTCCTGCTGCACCCCAGGCAGGGAGCAGGACAGAGGCAGCTCCTGCTGGGCACAGGGACCTGCCCACTGAGCAGGATGTTCTTCACCTCCCTCGCCCTCCCAGGCCCCCGGAGGAGTTTGAGGCTGCAGGGAGCTGAGCTGCTGAGCACTGGCCTCGGCTGCCACCTAGCAGTGACCCAGCAGCAGCAGGGACACACCGACAGCTCTTCCAAGTTCCGGCCCCTGCTGCAGCCTCAGGTTTGAGCTTTTATATTTTTCAGATTCTGGGCTGCTTTAGTGTGTGGGTCTGGCCTTCACATTAGGGGATGGTGAGGTCTCTTCACAGAATAGGGAGACAAAACAATTCCTTCTCCGGCTGGGAACCAAGGACAAATGATCCAGATCTCAGGCCCAAGAACATAAACAGTGGACTGAAGAGAGAAAAACAAGATGGGACTTCACAGGCTAAAGCTGTAATTGGACAATTAACTCCAACATGCAAATGGACCTTATTCTTTAGCTTTGTCTAGTCTCTGTTCTAGGTCAGCCTTCACAAGGCATAACAGGGCGGTGGCAGGTTGGCTCTGGGAGACATCCTGCACCACTTGGCCACTGCCTTAAGGGGCATGAGCCCACTCAGGGCCACAGACCCCTGATCACCAACACCAGCCCTCTTCCCTGTGAAACAAGTCACCACCCCACTTTGCTGATGTGTTTGCAGGAGGCACTTGGCACTGCCACGACAGCCTGAGGAAAAAGAGGATCTGGGGATCTTCTCAGGACACCCCACCGTGGCCCCAGCTGTCACCTCCCTGAAACCAAAAGGGGGTTCTGCAGCAGAGGCTGAGCTCTGAGCAAACTCAGTGATAAATGACAAAAATGTGCAGTGACTGCCCCAACCCAAATGTGGCACCAGAGAAGTCAGGAAACCAGAGAAGCTCCCCACAGTGCTGGACAGGCCACTGCTCCTCAGCTTTCTCCTTCCATCTCCTTTATTAGCTTTCCCAGCAGCTGCTTTGTAACCAGCCACAGATTTTTAACTGTTTCACATCCCAAACCACCAAACCACACTTAAATGCTGAAATTTAAAAAAAAAAAAAAGAAAAAGTGAAAGAAAAATACAATGGTTTGGGTTGGAAGAGAGCTTTAAAGATAACTAGTCCAATCCACAAATGTCTTATGCTGGGCTTTTACCCATTCCAATATTACTGCTAGTATAATTCAGCTTTTCTTGCTGGTTTGCAGAGGAAGATACCTCTGGCATGGTTTCAGGTGGGCACAGAATAGCATTTGAAGCCCCTGAAGATGTGAGGAAAAGCAGCTGGATGCCAGCATTCCTAACCAGGGCACTTCTGTTTTCACAGATTTTCTCTGCATTAACACCCATTAGGATCACTTGCCACAGGAAAGGAGCTACACAAACACAGTCAAGCTTCAGGCTCTCTCACTGGATTCCTTACAGATTTTATTCCATATCGTTAAGATGAGATTCCTGACACTTTGTACACACAACATCCAACAAATCACAGCCTCTTCTTCTTGGGGAAGGAGGTTTCTTTGGCTCTCCTCACAGTAAGGAGTGTGTAAAGCAGCCACTGTATTAAAAACCAAAATCACATCCCCACATAATGTCAAAACAGCTCATGCACTAAAGGAAGGAGGGATAGGCAGCCAATTTCCCTCTCTTAAACTTAAAGGATACATAAAACAATGTGACACTTGGATGTTCTCCTGAACCATTATATTAAAGAGCAGTAACTCAGTACACCACCGGTACAACAAAACCAAACTACTTTTCTGAAAGTAAAACTAACATTTATCACACATGCTGGGCACACCTGAGATACCACACTCCAGGCTTTTTCAAGAAATTAAACGTTTCTGAACAAAAAAAAACTGACAGCAGGGTCATACAGAGAGCCTGTGCTGCTCCAGACAGCCTCCTCCTCCAGCAGCAGCTCCAGCTTCTCCTCTCCTATCACACCTTCCTTCTGAGGCTGGGCAGCCACTGGAAGTAGGCATGTGAAGTGGCCAATCATGCAGCTGCCAACACTGCAGAGAGCAGGGCAGGATGGACACAGTTCCTGAGGTGGCCCTTGGTCACAGAGCCCAGAGCACGGCAGAGGCCAACCATGGGATTTTCTTCATCTGCATAAAGGAACACAGAAAAGAAAGATCAAATCTACACAAGTAAATCCAAGAGCTCCAGTTTAGACTGAAATCCCTTTTGCTTGGACCTCACCAGGTCATGGAAAGAAGACTTGCTAATGCACACCTGTTTGATGAGTCTGACATGGTATAATGCAAGGACCCCACTCCGTCTCCTCCTGCTGCTCCACCTCCACTTCCCCAGAGGAGGGAAATCAGATGTGAATTCAGTAGGTTTTGTCTAGGGAATTCTAGAGAGAAAGTTCCAAGACATAAACAGCCACTGCCTTTGGCAGGTCACTTAATCCACCTTGTAAATCGAGCAACTCCTGTATGGGTGTTGTAAATTCTTCCATCATTTGGAAGATGGAAGATAAGCACCCACACAGGGAACTCATAGGGTTTACAAAATGCTTTAGCTCTCTATGGTTGAGAGACTGGGAAACTCAGTATGAAATGAACACTGCAGTGGAGAAAAAATACTTCTGCATGCAAGGAGCAGAAACTCTAGAAAAGAGAACAAAACCCAACAATGAGAGAACTAACCCTCAAAATTTTGTTCCCATTAAACAACTAGAAATCCATTTTGCTGCACAAAGGTCAACCTGATTCATTGCATCCAGCGATTTATTATTGTGGCATCTCCAGCCCAACAGAAACACCAACATTTCCATCTGTTCCAGCAGCACTAGCCTTAGGATATCCAAGAGGGGCTGCAAAACTCACAGCACAGTAACACACTGCTCAACTTTCTGCCAGCCAAGTCGGACTGATGAATCTGTTCATACTATCAAGGGGGCAGAGCATGAATGGTGCTGCCATGAGTCCCACAGTGGGATGTACAGCTTCATGAAGTTGGGCCCTGCTTGAAAAACTTTTTATCTGATCTGGGTCATCTTGTTTCATTTCTGCTGGCTGCCTGGAGTAAATAAAGGAGGTGTAAAGGTCTTCCACTGACTTGACTAAGACAGCAGGCACTGAGGACTCTCCAAGAGATGAGATGCCAGCAAATGTATGTAAAAAAAAATGAGAAGGTGCAATTAGTGCACATTCAGCTCATTAGTTGCCCTGATCTTAATTATCTCTCAAAATTTACAAAGAAGTGGAAAGTCAGCAAATGGATAATTAAAAAACCAGAACAAGACTACACAACAATAATCCCCCATCCCCCTGGCCAAAGGGCAGCTTTTCCTCCACAGCAGACTGGAAGGAGCCATAGATTATTACAAGACACAAGGCACCTTATCTTAGCAAAGAATTAACAGCTGTCTCATCTCTCAGCAGCCCCACGCAGAATCAGTGATGGCAATGACAGAGGGAGTTTCTGCAAGGAAGCAGGAGCTGAGTCAGAGGAAGCCCCTCTGCATTTTTGCTTAAGAATTCAAATTAAATTTCCATTTCAGGGATGTTCACTCATGTCTCAGCCAGAGATGAGAGCTGATGTTTGTATTTTTTAACTCAGTATGGAGGAGAAAACCAGTGAAATGACAGACAAGCAGCAATTCAACCACAGCTGTTCAAAACCAGGTACTTGCTCTCTAGGCTGCTTCAGTTGTCAGGGCATGAGGCGACTGTGAGGCACTCCTGCAGCAGCAAGGATGGCTGGGCAGCAGGAATTCAGTGCTGACAGGATGCCAAGACAGGCATCACTACAGCCCAATTAGCCAACTACTCAGCTGGATACCAGCAGCCCACTGAACACCTCTGTTTAACATGCAGGAAAAATTTTGAGTGTTAGGACAAGGCTAAACGATGATTTTTATCTCTTCTTGCCACCCACACCATTCTCACTGAGGGACAGGATGCATTTACATTCCTCTAGTCTTCAAATCATCACCTATATCTGACATTTATGAATCTTGCTTTAGTCAGCTAGGCAAGGAACTCTTCAGATTCCTGCACTTGAAACACAAACTCAAGATTTCCACTCTTCCCCACATTACCTTCTTCCAAACACATACAATAAGATGACGGTTTGTGTCTTTCAGTTCATTTGATAAATTGACAGAGCAAGGACATTAATATCCAAGACACACAGCTTACACAGAGATTCTCTAGAACAGAAACCTAATTTGGCTAGGAAAAAAAAAAAAAACCAAACAGAGAAAATGACTACTTTATAAGTTACTAGCATTAGACTTGTTTTTACTCTTCTTTCTGAGCAGTGTCAGAAACAGCCCCAGAGCAGGCCCACTTCAACATTGGCTTGGCATTGACATTGGCTTGAAAGCTGTTTTGGTCCCCGTAGTAAAATGTCTAATGAAAAATCCTACAATTTAAATAACACAGAAAAGGGGAGAGAATCACCTGTAGACAACTGTTCCTGGTGTTTCTAATGGTAGTACTCTAGACTGCACTCAAGACCTGGGGTTTCCTCCCTGTTTAAGCCCTCTGTTCAGCAGCTGATCAAACTGTTAAATAGCCAAGGGTTTCTCTTTGAACATGCCCTGAAACCCTAGGTGTAAAGCATATATATATGCTTTACATTCACCCTTAGAATTATTTTGTTAACAAACCTATGGTTGTACAAAACCTTATCCCCAAAAACAACCAGGACTGCAAATCACTTCCTTTCAGGTCAGTTTAGGATGAGCAAGACCCTTTACTGCAAATATTCACCACTAGCACTTGTGGTCTTTTCCCTGCATTTACGGACTAGTACCCTGAATTATTACACATCCTTCACCAAACCCCAGAGATCTAAGAGGAAAACACACACTTCCTGGCTCCCAGGGGTGCAAAACCATGGAAGTGTCAAGTCAAACTGATCACAAAAATCTGGCACTGCTCTGAGGTCCTCAGAGCCCACTCTCAAATGGAAAAATTATGGTGCACACATGGGAGGTTACAGAGGGCACACAGACTCTCTGAAGTCTGCAAAGGGATCACACAACAGGCAGCTAGAAAGGTATTTATGGTCCATATAAATAATAGTTTTCATATTACATTTCTGCTTGCTTTTTATAAAAGCAGAAAACCAACTCTACAGAAAACTTCCACTGGACTGAGCCCTGGAGCTGATTTCATGGAATGACAGCTGTGCCAAACTCTCACCTGGTCACAGCTCAGCCCCATTCAGCTTCAAGGTCACTGTTCCACTGTCTGAATCTCGAGATTCCTGCTGCAAGTGAAGGTCTGGCTCCATCACTTCAGCATTCCCCTGCATTCCACTGGGCTGAACATACAAGGCTGAAGGATTCAGTTCTTCAAATTCCTAGAACAAAAAAACCCATGCCAGAACAGTAAAAAACCTCTACATTGTTACTACCACTGAGACTAAAAGGATGCAGCAAATCTCTGACACGTCAGCAAATGGATGAAGGTGCACAACACCCAAGAGTTAGCTCCAAATTCTTGCACAAACACCCTTATAAAGAAAATCAACTCCTCTTTTGCCAGCAACAAAATTTCTCAGCAATGCCCCTCTCCCATAAAACTGGGCCTACACATGCAAAAATACCATCACAGAATCTAATCCTGCCAGAACATGCATTCTGCATCTGCTGAATAAAACAGATAGAAGCACTTCAGGCTGCAATACTCAGCTTTCTGCTGAAATATAAAATCATGACAGTACCTTTCCAATGGTTTGCTAATCCACACTGGAACTGAGCTGAGACATACAAACAGGTAAGCCTAAAGCACAAATGATCTGGCTTACAATTGGTGTGACAATAGGCAATTACCATGGTTATGCCATCCAGCACTGTTTGCTAGAATTCAGGCTGAAAACAGTTTGTTCTACTAAACAGAACATCTCTGCTGTATCACCAGATTCCACCTTAACCAAAAAGCAAGCTCTCTACATAGAGTTAGACACTCTGGGGTGCAGTCACAAAATGAAAAGCTACAGGAAAGCAGGGAATACCAGTTTTGCTCTTCACAAAACCACTTGCTTCAAGGTAAGAATCTTTCAATTTACAGGCACCCAAGAAGGGATCTTTCCCTTCCCCTTCCTTTCAGCAGCACTCGCCTCCCTCCTGACCTGGGAAGGGATGTTCTCTCCACAGATATCAGCATATCCCATATCCCTCAAGACAGAGTGGAAGTAGACATCCTTCTTGGTGGATGTGTCACACAGGAAGAGGTACAGAACACCATCCACGTATTCATCCACGATGCCCACAAATTCCTTGAAGCGGCAGAGATGCTTGAACAGGAGAATTGCTGCACTGGACCACGTACCCTGAAGAGGAAACAATGTAAAGTTACCATAAACAGACAATATCTACCACCTGAGACTTGTCCTTGTGGTGGGCACTTGTCAAAAGCCAACTGAGCTAGGCCAGGCTAGTGACAAATACAGGAAAGTCAGGCAGACAAGCTTCCCAGCATGGAACTTAACCAAACTACCCCAAAGCCTGAAATTCTCATTACACTGGGAATGCTCTTTCACCCTAAATACCTACTTCCAAACATAGATCCATGGCATTCACCAGTGATTTTATCCCAAGCGCCTAAAATAGTTTGTTTGTTGGGGTTTCTTTTTTAACTCCTGGAATCACAAGACTTCACAAACATGAAAAGTATCAAAAGTTATTAAGATGCTGCTAAGCCTTACCACAAGGAAAACTCTGATTAACCCTCAAAAACCAGGGGAAATAACTTTTTTAAAAGCAACACCTTTAAAGACACACAGGCAACAACTCTGCTCACATGCTTTCCTTCAGAGATTGTATTCTCAGGCTTCTTAGTCAAGAATTTTCCCATCATAGAGAAACCTTCTTAAGACCTCTATAACTCTGCTGTGCTAACTGCATCAAACCAACTCACTTAAAGCTCTGTTACAAAGTTTTTAAAACAGAGGGCTGGAGATACCAAGGCTTCAAAAGGACCTTGGGGGACTATTGGCAGGGAGAGGAACAAGTTTGCTGTGCAAGAATATAAGCAAGAATGTTCTGATGGCAAGGAAAGCACTGAAAGGGTGATTGCTTATAGAGCAGACACTCACCCAGCACACTCTGCTGGAATGTAACAGCACTAATTCTGCTGTAAATATCAACAGCACTTGACTTCATCCAAATGTTTGCCCTTGGCAGGAGAAATAGATAGCCTCTACTTGATAACTCCTCTACATATGTTAATAAACAAAATTGCAAGTGGACACCTACCTCCACGGGTTTTACCCATGCCAAGGAACAGGGGATGGCCTGAGCAGGGAGCTTCAAGTAGTGCCACCTAAAATACAAAGCAAAACCATTACAACAAAAGCAGGGATAAATCAGCAGAAGAGCAGAACATCCTCCTCTTCTGGGTTTTTACTACCAGTTTAGGAACGCAGAAGCATACATTGGATTGCGTACTCATTATTAAAACCCAACAGCAACTTCAGAAAACACTCCATATTCAGAGAATAGCCACAGCAAAGCCAGCAGTAGCAAGTGGTCTCTTATGCATTCCCTGGCCCAAGCATCTTCCCATCAAAGATAAAAGACAAAATTACAGAGAGCTGTGACTTTTGAACCAAAGAATGCCAGGCAAGAGGAGAGGCAAACAAGAGGAAAGACACAAATATGGAAAATTTGCTGAACTGCAGAAAAAAGTACCTGTGACATTGCAAACAAGTGTTACTTGGGGGATGTGCCTTCAGGAGAATGTGTATATCCATTCATGTAACCCAGGAAGGAGCATTAGGGAGCTTGCCCCAAGGTGACAGACAGCAATAAAAGGACAGACTGAAGAGTGAAGGCAGACACAGGAAAGGATTTAGCAGTGTACCCCAGGGGCCAGTGCTGGGTCCAGTATTGCTCAATGTCTTCATTATCATCCTGGGGGATGGGGGAGAGTCTACCCTCAGTCTGCTGAGGACACAAAACTGGCAGGAGAGGCTGATGCCCTAGAGGGTCAGGTTGCCATCCAGATAGATCTTGACAGGATAGAGAAATGTACAGACAGGAACCTCACAAAGTTCAACCAAGTCCTGCACTTGGGGGAGAAAAACATCATGCATCAGCACAGTGTGGACCAACTGGAAAGATTCATTTTTACCAGGAGAGTGACCAAGCACTGGAATGGGTTGCCCAGAGAGGTCATGGAATCTTCATCCTTGGAAACATTCAAAAACCATCTCAGCATGGTGCTAGGCAGCCTGTTCTAGACAGCCCCACTTCAGCAGGGAGCTTGGACAGGATGACCTCCAGAAGCCTAGTCCAATCTCAGCTGTTCTGTGACTCTGTTGCCCATGTGTAATTCACTTACTTGAGGAATCTCAGCCAAGACTTCTGGACAATCTGGAGGTGTCCATAGTCTGCATAGAACACCTCTACCTCCTGGTCATTGATCACACGGTGGATGATGACACGGTACCACCACTTGGAGACCATGACACAGCAGAGCTGCCCAGGCCGCACTGCAGACTCAGGCATGATGTATTTATCAGAAGCAACTTTGTGTGAGTAAACGTGTCTGTAAAAGATCACAGTGAGAAACCAGCCTTAGGAGGATGAAGGAGATGAACAAGGAGAAATATACGGGGCATCAAAAGAATCCTGACTTTTTAAAGTCCCCATGACATGAATTTTCAGGAGTTGTTTTAATAGACCCTTTATATCTCTATTCTGCCACACTTAAAACTGAAATGGGAATCAAATTGCAACCCCAAACTTTCAACGATACTCTTGGGTTCCAACAAAAAGTTAATTAATGGAGATTAATCAGAGGCTAAACACAGTCATCCTAATCATTACTTTTTTACCATTACCTTGACATATCAGCATTTCTCATGAACCAGGTTTTGCAGTATTGGCCCAGGTGCAGTGTTGGAGGAGGACATAAAAGCCATAACTGAACACATTAGCAACAGCTGCACAGATAAGACACAGGAACCCTCCAAGCTCCTTTCCATAACCCTTCCAGGCTTACGAAGTTCAGAACTGCTAGGACACAGACAAACCACAGGAACTGCTGCTGACCACACCTACTGCTTGTCAGTTAAAAGGAATGGACATTTTGAGTAGTGTTGCAGGATAGCACCAGCACCTCTGTACCATGTCATGCAGCCAGCAGTGACCATCAGCAAGAGCTGGGTGCCCTGTTCCCTCAGCACAAACACCCACTGCACTGCCATAGCATGCTCCCACCTCATCTCAAACATCAGATCCTGCAGTTTATAGGATGCTTCCGTGCTGCAGATGTGGATGTAGAACTGGCTAGGAGAGACGACAAATTCCACAATCACTCCCACCAAGCATCTTCTCTTCAGAGGTGGCAAACTGCAAAGGCTTCTGTCCTGAACAGCATCGGGAGGGATTTCTGGAGTCGCTGGAAACTGCTCAGAACCTTGGTGCTACAAAGGAATAAGTGGGAGGTGGCACTCAGATGTCTCATCGTGCACTGAACACACATAACTGGCATTTGCATGAATTTAAAAATTAGTTCTTGCTTTTCTGGGGACTTGTGAATTACTGAATATCAGTGAACCCCAACAGACTGGGTAAACTTGGATGAAAACCTTCCCTGTGATAGAAAAAATCATTTTCACACTCTTTCCTTCTTCCCTCCAGTGTTAAGAGGGATGCAACAAAAATACCTTGCTCATATTCCTGCAAGCAATAAAGGAGAGAAATTCAAGTCAGGTCACATATTTAGACAAAAATAGTGAATGACTACTGCCTAAAAAAGCAAAACAAAATCAAGCCCCAGACGCAACCCCATCTCTTTGCTGGATTTTTCTGAAAAGGTATTACTGCTATATTCCATGACCATGAAAAAGTACATGATTTGAACCAGCAAATCTATCTGAAAATGATTCTGAAGTCACAAAAGACATGAATGCATCCCACTTTCACATTAGAGCTACTTCCCAAAGACAAAACAAGTCAAAATCTATAATTTCTGTTATTTTCTCACTTTGGTCAAATTTGTACAAGTAGGCTGTTCACACAGCTTTCAATCTTTCATCATTCTAACTGCTGAAAACATTATTTTACTTGAAGTAGTATGGATGAGAGCCTTAATCCAACATCAGCCACTTTCACTGCCTCAAGTGCTTTCTTTTTTTGCCAGCAGACAGCACTTCTCCAATGATTAAAGTCAAAAACACTTCAATTTTACTCATTGTGAACACAGTATAAACTATCACTGCATCATACATCAGGCAAGGTGTGGGCAATTCATATTCCAGCACACTCCCTGCTGCTTATTTCTAAATTCAACTGCAAACAATGGCATTTTGCAATAGTGGCTCTCTTAATCACTTTGTAAAGGTGCTGATAATAGAATATTCTGAGATAGAAGGCACCCACAAGAATCACCAAAGTCTAGCTCCTAGAGCTGCAATGGACCACCCCAAGAATCCCACCATGTGCCTGAGAGGATTTCACAAATGTTTCTTGAATTCTGGCAGGCTTGGTGCTGTGACCACTTCCCTGGTCCCTCCTTCTGCAGATTGAGTAAAGCCTAATGCCCTCCAATGTTTTGAAGCTAGAAATTTTGACTAAAACATTTGAATTATACAATGAGTTAACATTTTTGAGTCTAGGAGCAACTGAGGGAATTCTGGCCTGAGCAGCAGCATCACCTCTAAAAACCCCTTAATATTTCACAAATTTCCCCTTACAATTTCACAAATTTCCTCTGTGTAGTCCCTATGAATGGTGGCATTTCTAAAGGACAATTTTGCTCTGATAAAGCTCTTCATATCAGACTATTAAGGGCACACATGAGCTTTATATGCTAGCTCACATATTGTTAGTGACAAGAGAGATTTCTTTCAAAGATGTAGGGGATGTACACTTGAAAAGAAGCTCACAAAATGCAACAAAGTTATAAAAAGATAAAGCAAGAATACACAGTGTAAAACCAGGCTTTATAAGAGATATGACTTGCAAGAAAGGTTGACTCCTTTCCCCAAGCTGGACTGGCAGCTGCCAAGAGTGGTGTGGGTGACACTTCTTCTGTCATGGCAGCAAGAAAAAGCTTCTGAGAGAAGCAGCTCTGTCTTTTTTATCCTTCCTGGAGCCAAACAGATGGACTCAGCCCTTGTGCCCCACCTGGCCCTGAAAACACTTCCAGGATACCTGGCAGCAGGGCAGGGATCAGGTTGCATCCTTCCCCTCAACCTTGCAGCATCCTGATGAACAAATGTCCATTGCACACCTAAACAAACACATTCTAAACTACTTCCCTCCCCTTTAGAGCTTTTTAAAACAAAACAGCAAACTTCATGTTTCATGACAAACAGGAGTTGTACAAACATCTTCCAAGTTTTGTCCTGCCAGGATCTTTAAATGTGTTCCTTCTCCAATACCTAGGAACAAAAATCTGGGGCTACCTAGACCATATCCCCTCTTTCACTGCCTTCACAAGAACAGACTAGTGGTTTGACCCAGGGAAACTCCCTGTGGATCTCATCACACCAAACTAAAATCTCTTAAAAGGATTAGAACAGGCTGCAAAAAATTCTCAAGTGCTACAATCTTATCAAATGTTACACAAAGTTCAACTCATAGTTCCAGGCTTCCAAACTCATTAGTATACAAAGCACCAAAGTCAGGAAGAACCCTTGGGATCCCTTCCCTACTTCTAAGCTCCAATTGTACAGCTGAGTATAGCCACAAGACAAGCTTGGCAGAGGAAACAACTCTAAGCAGGAGGATTTTCCTAAGAAAAAGAAGGCCTACAGATGCTCAAAAGAAAAAAAAAATAAAGGAGGGACAAAAAAATTCTGCCAAAAAGATTTGGCAGTTCAAAGTCTCTGCACTACTATTCTCCAGCCCCTTTTAAAACCACACTGCTAAAGAAAACAAAATAATGATAATTTATGATCATTTCCTACCAAATAGCAGACTTGAGACTGCAGTAAACAAAGTCACTGAGGAACATTCCCCAGCTCTGTCCTGTTCTGTTGACACTGAAGCCCTGTCAACAGCAGCAGGGGAAATTCCACACAATTGGTCTCACAACAAAGTTATCAAAGTCCAGTTACAAGTAACTCTACCAAAAGGTATCACCACTTTCTAAGCGAGCAAGATAACACTTAACTGGCCTGGGATGATCTGATAGACCTGAAGATGAGGAGACCAGAAAAAAGACTGGCTTTGCATGGCACATAAAGCTATCCACCAGCTGGATGAGCCTGCTTGCCTCTAGAGACATCTAAAACAGGTACAAAAGTGTTTGGAAGCAGCAGTGCCTCAACAATGCAATCTCAACAGAAACAACGAGAGTAAAAGGAGTATCACCCCTTGAGATCGACACAAAAAAATGTACAGATCATTTGTCCAGCCACTTACCTGTTTGAAGTGATCACCCAAATCTACTGCTTGTGTTTGCTCTGGCTCCGAATCCATCAGAAGTGCCTCTTGGTAGCAGCTCTTTGTCTCACAGGTGGGTTCCAAAGGAGGCATCTCAGCTGCAGATGCTGCTGCAAAGACCATAATTTGGCTGTTATTCTTTGTTGGACCGATACAGTGCTGCATATGAAGCAGAAAGGGAAAACATTAAAAAAATGGAAGTCTGAAAGCATTGGTGCTGTTTTCCTCAATACTTGTAGCATTCACAGCCACCACATTAATGAGTATTTACTGTGTCAGTAAGTGAAAACAAAACAAGAATCACTTGCTCTTGTAAGCAAGCTGAAGGTTAAAATTAATTGCTAGAAAACGTTAAAATGTATTTTCTCTGGAAAAGCTGTGAGATTGGCAGGAACTGTATGCAATTACCCACCCTGTCCCATAGGTTTTATGGAAATGATAAGGGCATCTGCAGTCCTGTTTTGTAGAACACTGTAGCCATACCTTTCAGGCCAGCGTTAAATATTCAGTCTCAAAAAGTGTATGGCAAAAGCTTTACCAGCCTGCAGAGCACACATTGTGAAGACCCTTCTTGCCTTCTAGTTTTTTCACCTATTACCTGGAATGACTAGAAATTCCCAGTCCTGCACACACATTCAGCAAGTCCATACTCTGAATGGGCTAATCAGCCCTTCTTTCACCTACACCACAAAAGAGTGGCAAAAACCTCCCCGTTAAATTCTCTGCTACCAAGACAACTGCTTCTGCAGCACTCAACAACCTTCTGTGCCAAACCCCAGGGGAATTAAGACTTCTACAGCAATGGGAAATGCAGCAACAGAAACTTGAAAGGCAGTTGCTTGGCCACAGAGCTTGTAAGTGCTTTCAGTTAAACACATCACCTTACCTTGCAGCATCTCTTCTTCCTGAGCCTCACCTTGAGGCACCTCTTCCTCCTGAGCCTCATCTTGAGGCACCTCTTCCTCCTCAGCTGCACTCTGAGGCATCTCTTCTTCCTCAGCCTCACCTTGAGACACCTCTTGCTGTTCCATATTGCTTGCCAAGTACTTCCTCAGGACCAGCATGGAACCTGCCTTTGTCTGCTCAACAACAATGGTATCAGACATGCTCCTGAGGACTTCAAACATGGACAAAAATCCATACTGCCTGTACTGGAACACCCGGCCAAAGCGTCTGTGGAAGGCCTTGTCCAAGTCGGCCAGCAGAAGCGGTGAGGAGCTCAGCAGGTCCTGCAGCTCAGCCTTCACCACTGCTGGCAGGACAGGAATCCCAGCACTCAGAGTTTGGAAGCTCTGTGGATTCTTAGAGTTCTTAGTGGGAAAAATAGCATTTGCCTTTGTAGCAGTTTTCTTTGACGCCTTACGTGTCTTTACCTTCTGGTTGGCAACCAGCTTGGCAATATCTTTGGTGGAGTCATCTGCAATGGCTGCAACAGAAAGAAATAAACAGACAACCAGAACAATGAACCATTAAAAGCTACACACTGGCAAAGCTCATCTTCATTCCTTTCTTTCCTCTTCTCCACATTCCTTCCAGAAGCATTTATCTCCTTCAAAAGCAATCACACTAAACCATGGCTGATTTCCAGCAACCTCACCCTTTGCAAACTGGACTGAACTATTTTTGAAAGCCAGCAACCAGTTTGCACCCTCATCCCTAGAAATTCAGACCAGGCAGGAAGGCAGGTCAGATTCTTGGATGCAGGATCACAAACAAAAACCAAGCTGCTGAGAGTTTTGCTGGGAGAGCAGAATCACAGTAAACTCTCAGTACAGAGCACCCCCTGCCCAACAAAGGTCTCCCTGGAGAACAGCCCAGGTCTATTCCAAGCTTCTAAACAACTTTTGCTTGTGTTACTGTAGCACTCAAAAAGGCCCCAGCCATTTCACCCTTCCCAATGAACTCTTTGCAACTGCCTTTTGTTGTCACAACTCTTCCCCAAAGAAAAAAGAAAATTAAAAAGGTTCTTTGATACAAGCTAAGCTTCCTATGTGGTCAGGTACAGAAACCTTCAAAGCTTCTCTCGAGAGGCCCCATCCCTGGTTTTGGCTCCTGCTGTAGTCTGCATTTACAGGAAAAGTGAGACTTACCAGTTCTGGCATATGCATAAGGAAATGTTATGTTAGTTTCTAAACCAAGTGCAGAATGAAAAAGTGTACAAAAATAACTAGAAGCATGGGTGACTTTTTTAGGAGGGAAGAGCACAAAAGTGTTAAAAGACAGATAAAAATACAAGAAAAAAAGGCAAAAAATAACCAGAGTTGTATGATAAACAGATTAACAGGTATGTGACACAGTTCTGCACAGGTCAACATCGCTTCACTCCACTATGAGGTTCCAAACAACTCCTCCACCCATTTGGAAACAAAACCTCACCTTTGAGTATTAAAGCACCATTCTTAAAAGAACAGATTTGGACAGCTTCAGGCATTTGTGTCACCAGCTCCAAGGTGGACTGGAAGCCCAGGTCACGCAGAGGGAGAGGTTTGCAGACCATGGCCATGTACTGCTCCTCCAGCTGCTCTGGCGTCAAGCCCGCTTTGGCAGCTATCAGCATGGCCCTCACCTCCTTCTTCAGCACCTCCATCAGCTGCGCCTGCCTCGATGCCTCTGTGCTAAAGGGGAACACAAGCAAGATGACAACTTGTACCACAGCTGCTCCTAACCATATGGAATTCTAGCTTTGTCCCACCTAGCACCTGAAAGCTGGCAGCAGGCTCGCGAACAACCCTTGCATTCACTTGCCAGCACCCCTGGAGTTTAATGCACTCTTAAACCTCTGCCAGTGCAGGCACCCTGCGCGTCCATACTGCTGCCCGAAGACACCCCACCCACCGCCGGCTGCTCCTCGCAGAAACCCCCGTGACCCCCACGGCGGGGGTTCGCCCCTCAGCCTCGCAGGTCCCCCGCGAACATCCCCGCTCCCCTCAGCCCCGTGCCGGGACTCCCCGCGCTCCCACACGCACGCCGCCATCGCTCCGGCCGCCCCGTGCGCATGCGCGGCGCCTTTCCCGCCTTTCCCGGGCGCGAGGGCGGGGCGGGGCCGCTCCTGCCCCTCACCGCGGCCGGGCCGCCATTGCTGCGCCGCTGAGGGCAGCGGGTGACACCGCCCTCAGCGCTGACGTGGGGTGAGCTGCCCGCTGCCTCGGGGCTGCGGAGGACCGGCCGGGAGATGCTGCCCCTGCCTTCTTAAAAAACAAAAACACCAAAAACGGGGGAAGATCTCTGAGATGATCGAGTTCAACCCAAGACCCAACAGCACGACGTCAGCCAGACCAGAGCATCGAGTGCTATGTCCAGGCTTTCCTTAAACACCTTCAGGTGATGTCCCCACCTCCCTGGGCAGCCTGTTCCAGTATCTAACCACTCCTTACTGTGAAGAAATTTCTCCCTAGTCCAACTCAAACCTCTCCTGGTGCAGCTGCAGCCTATGTCCTCTTGTCCTATCTCTGGTTGCCTGGGTGAAAAGCCTGGGTACACCCTGCCGTAATTGTGGGTGTAGAGGGTGGTAAAATCCTCCCTGAACCTCCTTTTCTCCAGACTGAGCTCCCCACAGCTCCCCCAGCTACTCCTCATCACACTTGTGTTCCAGACCCTTCCCCACCTCCATTGTCCTTCTCCGGACTTGCTCCAGAACATCCATGTCCTAATGTAGTTAAGAAGAGTCTTGTATTTTGTAAGAGGAGTCTTGTATTGTAAGGAGCCTTTATTTATATATATTTATTTTTTGTCCCATCTAAGAGGAAAATCCACAGTGGAGACACAAAAAGCACATTAGGAAAGAGTCAGAACCAGTTCCATCAATGTAACAATATTTAAAACCAGATGTGGTTATTAAGAGGAGTCTTGTATTGTTTTCAGTCTCATCTGAGAGGAAAATCCACAGAGGAGACATTGACTTTCCAGCAGACTGAAGTTAAAGAGGGGTGCAATGGCTGTTTCCTAAGAGCTCACAGATATCTGAGAAACCCCCTGATCTGCACAGCTGATTTCCATACAGGAGTATTTTTCAAACTAAAACAGGAGCCGAACTTGTGAATTTTGGAACACCCATCAGCATGTGCTCTCAAAAAATCTCCTCTTTTCAAAAGTTAGTAATGAAACACATCTCCCTGGCATGGTGGAGTCAGGACCCACTGCTTGAATAAAACATCAGTCAAAAACAGCATGTTGCAGGTTTGGAGGTGTTAAACATGCCAGGATTCTTCTGACAAGACACCAGTTGGAATCCAATACCAGACCTGAGCTGCCTTTTGCTGCTGCTGCTTAGAACACCACCTGCCTTTTCAGCAGCTGGAGACTATCTCTGCCAGTCCCATGTTGGCCAAGTGATAAACACAAAGTGGAAAAGGTTTCTGGAGCACTTCCAAAGAATATACACTGTATAAATTTATTAATTACACCCCATTTACACCCAACTTTTCTCTGCCTTTAGCCCTTTCCATCCATCACTTCCCTAGTGATCTGCTGACACGGTACAGCAGAGAAAGCAGGCAGCTGTTGCTCCTGCCCTCCCTGCCTGCAATATCCTGACTCCAGGTGGAGCACAAGTCTCCAATAAAACAGGAATCTGTGAAAAAACAAGATCAGCACCTCCCCAGCTGTCTTCCCAGCTCCCTTCAGCCACTCCTCTGCACCAGAGATTGGAATCCCTGAGCTCAGCCCTGCCCTGCTTTATGTCCCAGGTGTGTCTTTCTGTAGTGTAATATCTAGCCAGAGGCTGATTTCTTTAATACAGTTGGTGACTTTAAAGGTGTTTCTTCTACAGGTTTCTGCAGATGTCAACATAGGCTGAGCAGCATGAAAAGAGAAAGCTCCTATATTTGCTCTGCCTTGCTCCTGCTGTGAAAAACTAGGGAGCCATTTAGACACAAACTCTTTTGGCAATTTAGATTCAACAGCTCTAACTGTGATGGCTCTCATGTGAACATCCATTCAGGAAAGCTGGGACCAGTTATTTTCCCTCCTTGCTAAAATGTGACCCTTGAGAGAGGGGGGTTGCTGCCAATGTCCCTTCACAGTGCCAGCCAAAGGGCTTCTGGAGAGCAGAGCAGTGTGAGAGGGTCTTACCCAGACACTCACCACAACAGCCCCTCCAACCACTCCCGACTGAGCCACTGGCCTCACCAGCAAAGGTTTTTCACCCTGGTGTCTATTGGGGGCCACTCTCACCTTTTGGTATCTTTTGGGCCACATGCCTGACAGTTATTTTTAGGTTGCTTTTCAACAGCTTTGCAGAAACTATCTACTAAAAATCACCAGAGTGCTCCTGATTGTATTTAATTTCCAAAAGCAGGAAGATGCAAATAGAATGTCCTCCTGGGATCCACCTTGTCCAAGTGTAACTTTCCTTCCCAACTCTACAGCAGTGCATGATGAGAGCAGAGCAGCTGGAAACAGCTTTTTCACTTCACTGTCTATTATGCCTGACAAGCCTGTAATGAACTTGAAATGAGCCTCCTTGATGTGACACCTCCCCTTCTCTCCTCCCCTGCCTGCTTCTCCTGCCTGCAGCAATAAATTTGAGCACGTACTCAATTCTAGTCCCCGGGCAGCTGCGTGCTCCTCGGCACAGATGGGGATGGAGAAGAGGTCTCGGAGCTCTTCCAGGGAGTCCCATAGAAGACGCAGAGAGTCCCCGGCTGCACAGAGCAAACGAGAGAAGAGAGAGAGCAGCAGAGAAGCTGGCAAAGGGAAGGGAGATGTAAAGCAGGAGAAAGCCAAGGAGACCAAGAGCACTGCGGGGAGTGATGGTAGGGTGCACACCTCCACAGTGGTGGACGTGGATGATGTGGTGTCTGATGAAGAAATGGAGGCAATGGCATTGCTGGATAGTGAGCAGCAAGAGGAAGGTATGGCTTAAAGAAGGGAAGGGGTTGGAAAACTGGGCTTTTTGGTGCTGTGTGGGTCACAGTGTGACTCTGCTCTCTGCAAGGTGTCATCACTCCCACCTTGCACAGGTGTAGTTATTCTTAGGATAGGACATAGGAAACTCCAGACAGCTTCTGCAGGCTTATTAGCACCATCCAGCAAAGCAGTGAACCTGGATACAAGCAGTTACATTCCCAGCATCCTTCAGGCTTCAGCTTGCTACTCTCCAGTTCTGTTCATGCTCTCGTCTCTTCCTTTTCTTGCTTGGCCTCCTCTGGGTGGATAGCACTGGCCTTACTGCCAGTTCATAGCCCAAAGGTCCTCACTGCAAGGAAGAACTGCCCTTGAGGTACACACTTGCCACTCAGATAACCTTTAAGAGCAGCTCCTCTCCACGTGTTTGCTAGGCACGCTCCCAGCCTGCTACAATAGAAGGGAGCATTGTGATCCTTTTGGCAGTACAACTGAACCTGTTTGGACCCAGCATCACCACAGGCATGGCAGATGTCTATTACAGTAGCCAGCACCACTTGTGCCTTTCCATGCTAGCACCTCTGCTGCTCCAGAGTGACACAAAGGTTCAGACTTGCTCCTGATTCCCTGGGAACAAGCTTTTCACAGCTTCATCTTTTTGCCTCCATTACAGGAATTACAGCTATTGGGCAGTTCTTAGGTGCTCTAGTGACTACACAGGTTCTTGGTATCTCCCTCAGGACCTAGTGGTTCTGCAAAATATTTGAAAGGCAAAGGGGCAGGTATGGAAGGGTTGGAAGGGATTAAAAATGGGAGGGATGCTAACTTCACTGTTGGAAATCCTCATTCACTCTCTGGCTCCATCTGTTTTCATGCCATACCTGCCGATTTTCCCCTCAGATAGGGGCACAGCAAAGGGCAGCCAGAGCAAGATGACCCATACTCACTTTGGGGAGATGTAGAAAGTAATAATAATCTGGGCTGACGACACCAGTCAGCCTCCAGCACCTTGGGGTGACTTCTTAAAACACAGGAAGATTTTACTGGCACCAGAGGCTTCATCCCACTACATTAGGGATTTGGGATGCAACTAAAATCCTATTCCAAAACAACCTGAAATACTCTGATAGAGAAGGGCACTTCAGGCTGTGCATGTTTAAAGCTCCCTCTTATTTACAATCTTTGTCTTTAGCGCATCTTTCCAGATAAACATCAGGGATGCCAGCTCAGCAAAGCTGCCCATTCCAAGCCTTTCAACCCTGCTTTGAAGCCCCAATTCTTCAAGATAAAGTCTGTTCTCTAGTCAAGCAACCATGGAGAAGCATGGCTCAATTTTTGTCAGTAAAGCAGAGACAAAATCTATCTATCCATCTTTGCTACTCCTGTCAATCTGAAGCAGGGAGTGTTCCTTAACTCACCTCCAGAGAGAGCCAAGTGGTTCATTTACAGTGAAGCCAGGCAAAGGACAACAGTGAAGCTGATGTGTGCAGGCACTTGTCAGGCTATCACTATTTTGAGAGCAGTCCTCCTCTAACACAGTCCTGTGTGATTTCTCCCTAGGTGTAAAGTCTCCTGGTCTGGGTGTCTGTGAGTGGCTTTTGACCATCTTGTCTTTCCTGTTCATCATAATGACCTTCCCCATTTCTGTCTGGTTCTGCATGAAGGTGAGAATTGCCATGGGGCCTCTCAGTATCTGGTGTCTGATCTGGATGTCACACACTGATTCAGTATGCGTTGGACATGAGCATAAAGGTTTTTTTGGTATAAGACCCCTATTTATATCTCTTCAACTTGTCATTAATTTTGATTTGTCCTTTATCCAATGTTGCTACAGCACAGGGGTCCAACCATTGCCAGTCAAATACTCCTGCTGAAATACCAGCAGGAAGGAACAAAGTTTTCTCTTTTTAAAAACAAATTTTAAGTCTGTTCACTTTCAGACACATCCTTCAGCCAAACTAGCCCAGACATGGCTGCATTACAGCAGCAGGGTAAATAGGCTTTAAATTCAAAATTTTAAATGATATTGATCTTTCAGTTAATAGCAGACTTTCCCTCTTCCTCTCATTTTTATTCAGATTTATAGCATGGCTACAAGTAGGAACTAGTAGGCATTTTGCTTCCCACTTCTCAGGAAATTTCACATTTGTCTTGCTATCAACAAGAATGTCAGCATTACAGCTCAGCTCTTAGGATGAGCACATTTATCTTAGAGGGAAAAAAGCAATGTGGA